TTCAAGTTAATAATCCCAAATATCCTTAAACTAATTCATGAAAAAATTATCCATAAACTTATAAACAGAAGCAGGACACCCACAACGAGAGGTATGCGTTGGCTATATTTGAAATCATTTTTTACTCATAGGTAGACAGTAGACTATGTTTCGTTTTCTTAAAAAATCATCCGTTCTTTGGCTTCACACTTAAGGAAATAACTTAATTGATTAGTTTTAATTTGATTGTGAGTAGAATTTAGTAGACCGATAAAATGTAATCATCTAAAAATTGAGAATCAAGAATCAGGATTGGCACACGGACTAAGAGTCACAAATTCTCATTTCTTTCCTGAAACTATTAACAGAACGATCGCACCTTTTCAATGATCAACAAGTTACTGTTTTATAATTTTGGATTGAATATTAGTGTGTTTCTATATGGTAGTGTGTTTCTATCTCTTTATTGTAAATTCTTACCTAGATTGAATTGGAAGAAAAAATGATTATGGCATATGGGTTCCATTAGCTCTTTGCGCAGGTTCTTTAGATTCTTTTATAACGTAATAGTGATTCAACTTGAATTTTAAATAGGAGGTCGAAAATTGATCTGCAAAAAGTCCCATTCTGCTTGCAAATTGTGTATAGTATCACATTGTGATACTTTTCATTCATAGGACAATTAGATGGCACGGTGCATGTGATGTTAATCAAGATGGAAACATTCTAATGGTTGATGCGGTTGTATTCCTTCCAAGACAACAGGTTCAGATAAAAATCTCATCTTTATGTATCTCATCTTATTTTTATCCTAGATCATAAGTTTATAATTACGGTGGTGTTTGCTGACTTGGTGTGGTGTATTCTAATATGCATGGAGGAAGTGAGTGATGAATGTTGAACAATTACATCTGAGTTTGGAGCTGAGAGCAGTGAGTGTTGATGTCATAAGTGATCTATTTCATGTTAATCAATCACATAAAAGTCACCTTGAGAAATTTTCGTTGTTTTGGTTCGTATGGATTTACTTTTGTAAATAGAAAATGTAGGTTTTTTAACTGTATTCATTTAATCAACGTGGTTTTGGAAATCCTATGAAGACATGAAATCTTTGTCTTATTGTTTTTATTTTGCATATGTTTATCCATTTCAAATCTTATTCTTCAGTCCATAAGTTGGTGTGTAAAAACTAATTGATTTTGTATTTAATTTTGTGGTTTTGTAGTTTTTTTTTTAATTTTTGTATTTAAAGTAGTAGATTAACTATTAATTTCTGTAGGATTTCTATGATCTTGTGTTCTAATCAATCATTATTGAAGCTTGCTTTGGGTGTCTTTGTTTTCTGAAAATCAGACTAAACACTAGAAAGTAACTTTCCCTAACATTTTTTTAAGTTTTCCCTTACATCTTCAAGGGCCAAAGTTAGTTATATCCATTCAGACTCCAGAATGGCAGAATGCAGTTGATTCGAAGAGATAAGCAATTAGAGGATTTGTTGAGTATGCGCATGGGTATGATTCAAAGTTCTATGTTTTCTTTCACAAGTGTTGTTTGCTTCGACTTTCTTCCTTGTGATGATAATGCTCTGTATTGGTTCTGCACTTACTATCAATCCATTGCCCACTGTAAGCAAACTCATTCTAATTGCTCAATACATCTATTTATCCCCATAGTGCACTTGCAGTTTCCTTTTACAACATCAATGGATTTATTGCAGTCGATAAAAGTGAGGCGCATGATCCCATCAAACTCAAGAAGTTTGTGTGCTAAGTGAAGCTAAGGATGTGTTTGAGGAAATGACCGACATTTTTAAGAAAACTCACTGCACTATTTTCAGTTCTAAGCTAAATCTGAGACTCCCATGGAATGTGTTGCTAGAAGACATTGCCAGGAACAACGTTTGTGTAGCCAGTGATGCCCTCCAACCAAATGACACCAAATCTTAAGGAGAGTGGGTGATCTGTCCTGGAAGACAGCAATTTACTTGCTTTGTGCCTTGGAAGTGCATTATTGGGGAAAAACCAATAGGAGATGATGATGATGATGATGATGATGATGATGATGATGAATATAGTGTTGATAGGTTCAAAAGGATAAAAGTCTGCCTTGAGAAATACATCAAGGAAAGGAGATGGAGAAGCTTTGTACTTATCACTGTTGTTTATTGGATTGGTTTCTTTCAGGAGAGTAAAAACAGAGTGATCAACTTGTTAAGGGAGAAGTTCTTGGTTCATCATACTTTTGGGCCGCACTTTGTCTAGCAGATTTTGGTTGTGAGAAACTATTGTTATGATTGGCATTTTTTTAGATTTATGATTGGCATTTATTAATCATTAAAACAATGATAACTTTTATGTTGGATATTTGAATTCGTATATATGGACATATAAGTGATCTCATCACTCCATCATCCTAGATGGACATGTTTAATTGAACTATGTTTACTTACTAAATATATTTACATGTCTGTTTGACCAAGTGCACATGTGTGTGTGTCAGTGTGTGTATGAAAAAACAATGTACATGACCTGTGCAAATGATAATAATAGTATTGCTAATAACAATATAGTAATAAATGCCTTTATATTTATGGTTTTGGTTTATGATAATAAATCCGTGAAAACAACCCAATTCAAGTACATAATTATGGGTCTTTACTCCTCATTCATATGAACATTTAAGGGATGTGATTTGATTTATTTATATAACAATGACACATTGTTATATTTTCTGCTTAGTATGTGATATTTTTGTTTAGCAAGAATGTTTTTACTCCGTACTTGGATTTATTTCAGCCCCATAAAAGACTAGACCTCCATACACAAAGCCCAACATTTATCATACTAGACCAGATCATACCAAATCGAATCAGATTAAATCAAACTAGAAAATTTCAATCCAATTAAAAACATCCTAAGAGTTTCATTGTTCAAATCTATTTAATGTGACTATGATGGTTGGTCAACCGTTATTGCTTTAATTGTTCTTTATTTAAAGTTACTACATCGCTCCTGCTAACATTGGTAGACTAAAGCTACTAGTTTTTTAATGAATAAAGCTATTAGTTGTAGACTAAGATAAGAACTATACATGTTTATATATGATCTAAAGTGTTATTTATTTAAATATATTATTATTATTATTATACATAATGAAGTTACGTGAGTGGGTATAATATATTATTAACTGTGACAACACTATATATGACAGAGTAAATGTTATACATGCGTAAACTTAGTATAATAATTATTATACTTTAAATTTCTAATTGTAAAGAAACATTGAACGCTAAACTTAAATTCCAAATTTACCACTGCCCCAAGTTATGCTCCAACTCAGAAAACAATGTATAGATAATAGATGGGTGGGATAGTGGGAGGACTTTCGTTCAGCAGACTAAAGAAGAAATGTGCAGGTCTGTGTTGGAAGAAAAACGGCTGGGCAGCGACGTGAGGTTCAGGGGAAGTAAGAATCTTTTTTAAAAAATGTTATAACTTTTTTTATTTGTGCTCCAGTTATTCTAAAAATACGGAGTATATCGTAATTTATAACTTTTTATGATATTTTATAAGACACCAATATTGTATATATAAAATTTAAAAAATGTGAGATTTCATTAGTTGAAGATTTTATGTCCAAAATTTTCTTAATTAGATCCTATGCTAAAATGAAAATTTCACGGTTAAAATATTTATTTGTCTTTTTTACATCATAATTATTCCGAATAAAGAATTTGTTAAAAAAGTAATGTATATATATATAAAATAAGAATTTAATTAATAAAAATTTGTTGAGTGAGTATATTTACTGGATTGTGGAGAAAATTGAAACGACTCAATGAATATGTATAATTGATATAAATTGGTGAGGAATCTCATTTATTGAGGCTACTGTCCGAGGTTGTGTTTAGGAGTTGGTTTTTAGGAGGGAGGGAAAGACATGTGGGAGAGGCATGTCAAAAAAACAGGTCCGCAATGACCCGCCCTGACCCGGGACATTTGGGGCGAGTCCGTCCCACCTCGTCTTGCAAATGGGGCGGGTCCGCCCCCCCCCCCAATGAGACGAGTTTGGGTATTAGTATTGACCCGCGTTGCCCCGCCCCGCTCAATAGTTAAGTATGCATAGCTCTTTAAGAAATTATACTATAAATATACGTACACATACATATTTGTGTATAATAAATCATAAACTCTTTGGTATTATAATATATTAATAGTTATATTTGAATGAGATGAATAGTGAATTGTCGGTTTCTGTTTTTTTTATATATAGCATTTTATATATTCAATTATTAATATAAATAGATTAACTATTCAAGTCTAAGTTATTTTTGTTGTTGAAATTTTTAGCGTATTATGACTTTGATTTAATATATTATTTTTATAATTATTTAAATATAAATGTTATGTAGCTTCAAGTGGTAACGACTTCACGCAAAGAGAAATACATGCGGAGTATTACGTACTAGTTAATTAGGTTACAGCGGGGCGGGGTGGACCCGCCCCGCATGGGGCAGGTCATGGGTCAACAAGTTTAGACCCGTGCAGGTCACGGGACAAGGCGGGTCTGGATCTTACAGTACCCGTCCCGACTCATTGCCATGTCGAGTGGGGGTCGATGACCCTCTTATTTGTGTTTGGGAATTTAAAATGTGGAAAATGATTTTGGATGGTTTTTGTGACCGTCCATAATTTCTCAAAAGCTCAATTTTTAAGTTCCTTCAAAATGAGGGGTTTTGAAGGTTGACTAAGTAAATGATAGTTTAAGTTTAATTTAAATGAATATCATTTCAATTATTTAAATTCACATATCTCAGAAATGACTTTAATTATAATAATTGCTTCTAATATTCTTTTTTTTTTCAAATTTACTACTCCCAAATAAGAAGAAAGTTCTTCTATCTTCCCCTTCTCTCCTTATCAAACTCCCAAAAATACTAGCTCTAAATTTTCAATTTTTATGTGTTTGGGGCCTTGGGCCTATATATTGACTTTGCCCATTATATTTTGAACATTATTCGACTTTAAGGCTTTACGCCCAATATTACACAGGCAATTCCCACCCGAGCTAGTTATGTAATTGGATCCCCAACGTTTCAACAGCTGAGGAAGACGAGAAAGGGAGAGGGAGAGAGCTATGCAAATGGATTGGTCTTCGTTGATCTTTGGTTCTGTGATAATCTACTGCTTAGTTGTTGCAGTGGTTGCGGAGGAACAGCTGAGCACAAAAGAGTGCGAGAACCTCGGCTTCACTGGTCTTGCTCTCTGCTCCGATTGCAGAACACTTTCGGAGTATGTCAGAGATCAAGGTCTCCCATTTTCCCTCCTCCTATCTTTGTTCAATACATATACACCTTAAGCAAAATTCAAGTTTAAGTTCCCGGTTTTGATCAGTTTCGTGGTTATTATTTTCACTTGATTAAAGAATGCTAACGTTATTTCCAGCATTAATACTTCTTTTACATTCATAGGGTATAGATTTCACTTAAATATCAAACATTGTTACAGAAGAATATATCTGATATTTATGACTGTGTAGATAATTATGGCAGGATATTCTGAAATTAAGTGGTTCCTCAAAATCTGAGTTGTGTTGTAGATAATAGCACGCTTAATAGGCCACATTGTCCTGGTTTGTTCAAATTTTCAATCATTTACAAAAATACTCTCTCCGTCCCAGCTTAAGCATCTCATTTGGCTTTTTGGATGTCCCAGCTTATGCTTCTCATTTCTAATTTGGGAAACTACTAGCACTCTTGAATGATAAATTAATCATCAAATATTTAAAATAATACACCTATAAGATTCTATTTGTTATCGATGACCTCATTATGTTATATACCTATCAAGATTACTTTTGAAAATATACTCAAGTTACCTAATTTTATTTTTGTCTAAATAACCATGCCATTTTTCTATGAGAAGCTTATCAGGGGTGGAGGTGGTAATTGTTCTTATGTGAAAAACGGGAATCATCCCTTTTTTAAAATGTATCTGCTATCTACTCGGTACTTGTGAATTGGAAATCATGCAGTGCTGTCGAGGGTAAGAGGCACTAAAGGTCCCTGTTGGAGAGGGGCACAAATTAATAGAAAATGTAAAAGTAATAAATAAAAGGCAGGCATATATACATTCATTGAGATCAATATTGCCGACTTGCCCTCCCCCCTCGCATTGACCAACTATCTCCAATTAGGAGTATTATTTTTCCAAACCTTAGCTTCTAGGATATTTTCAGTGTCTTTTAGTGGCTGGTTCTAGAACATTACCTTTGGAATGCTAAGTAACACCAGTTTATGTAACAAAGAAGTTGGCGGCTTTTTCTGATGATGAAAAGGTGTGCTTCTGCATTTCCAAGGAAGTGCAGCACCTTTCGAATGAATGGAGTAAATGTGCTGAAGCAGAGTTGTGAGTCAGTGAGTATGCACAAATGATGTTTGATCTGTGAAGGATGAAAGTTCTCTTATTTATGTGATCAAGCCGATTGTGATTTAAAGGTTTTTTAGCCTGTAGGTAAAATAGGATGTTTGAGGTTTGGTCTTTCCAATCAAAATTGTGCATGCAGTGTGTTTATATTTAAGGGTTTAGTTTTTTGCACAAATGGATAGAACGAAGGGGACTGTTCTGTGCTTTACTGCTTACTGACTATTGTCCTGAAGTCTGCGTGATGTGCATTAGTGCAAAACTGCATAATGGCCAGCGTTTCATTCATTTATGATAGGGTATAAGTAGCAAGGTCAATGAGGATTCAACGCCTCTTTAAGAAAAGGAAGTTGTGCCATGATGCACTCATGCACATTCTTAGTTTTGTTGATGGCTAGTTGATTGTGACACACTCAATTTGAATTGGAGCGAAACATGTTTTACTCTTTTTATCCACATCCCTTCGCAAAAACCTTGAACTAATTGCTCTATACTTGGTCTCTGCACTGCTTCTTCAATCCTTTCCCAGGGTCGTCTTTGAGCTCCCGTTAACTCCTCTCTCCCCCTTAGTGTGAAAGCTATATCTGGTCGGGTATGTGCAAAATAAACAAAACATCCAACAAGTCTTTGATATCTCTCAGTCCAATATTGCACTGTCTTTGTCTAAACTGAGCATTTATAAGGATTCATATGCTTCCTTTAATAAGGAGTCATAGAGTGACTCCAGGGACTCTGATACCATGATGACCTTTGAAATTTTTCCAAATGTATTTGCTTGGTGATGGATCGATTCATGTTAACTGACCCCAAAATCTTTTTGTAATAAGGCTTGGATGTTGTTGTTGTTGTATTTGCTTGATGATTTACATTATAGAGAGAGAAGGAATGTGAGAGACTGGGAAATACAACCAGATATAGGCTTCAGATTCTAATCCCACAATATCTGACCTGATCTGCCAAGGTCTATCCTTATCCATACAAATTTAATAAAACATTAAATAATACTCCATAATAACTTTGATTGATCTCTAGAATTTGACATTAGCCATTTTTGTGTTCATACTTCAGGCTAATTTGTACTCCTTATAAGTGCGTATTCTTCATTAACTAGAATTTATAACATGTCTCTACAATTCTTATATTATTATTCATGTCTCTAGATTGTACATGAAAACGTATGAGACAATGCTCCCTGGGAATATAAATTTGTCATGACTATGGACTTATTCATATCCACATCTATGCAATGTTGATAATACTGCTCTAGTGCTCAGACTAATCTCTATTTTCTATTGGTTGCAGAGGTAATTTCTGATTGTTTGAAGTGTTGCACTGAAGACTCTAATGATGCCACAAGCAAGGTATGAATGTTACTCAGTTGCTGATCATATGTGTATATATGTTACACATACACACACAGGACTGCTCCACTTGTTTATCAAATGCGACATTACAAGACATATCAATATGGACGATATGCCACCTTTCACATACTCTAGACTTTAGGATGTTTTCTTTTGGACTGAAATTTGCTGGTCTGGTCTGGTATGGTAAATGTATGGTCTTTGTGTATTTTATAACTACGGAAGTCTGGTCTGATCTGGTCTAGGACTGAAAACAATCCAAAAGAAACATCCTTAGTAAGCTTTCACGACCTTCGATTTGAAACATGTTCAAATGAATAGAAGTGGATGAACAGCAGGAATGAGTTTGAAAGGGGAAGGACACCTAAAATTGAGACAGCAGACTATGATAATCCAGTTCGGTGATGGGGATTATACCCCTCTACAGGATAGAACTCAATCATGAGTTTTTTATGACTATATATTGATGAGTTCATGTTTAATATGTTTGTACTTTGTAAACTGGAAATTAATCTGCCCTGATATGTGAAGCTATTAGGAGTATTAACTTGCATATATTAATAACCTCAAGTCATTTCGGTTTGTCATGGAAGAACACAAGTCAAAATCAATTGAAGTTATTCCTTAAACTTACCCTACTTGCTGTTTATTTTAATACTCCTATAAAATACTCACCCTACTTGCTATGAATTATGTCTGTCATGGAGTATGTTAGTAATAGGTTATTTTTCTTATTAATCCATAGCAAATACCTATGGCTTCTATGTCATTTTATTCTCTTGTCTAGATCAATGCTTTTCCTGCATCAGAATGAAAAGGGTTATGGTTATTGTGTATAAGTAGAGTGCTGTTGTAGGTTGTATATGCAGGAGCAGTTATAGAAGTCTGCATGAGGAAATTGGTATTCTACCCTGAAATTGTTGGCTTTATTGAAGAAGAGAAAGAGAAATTTCCTTCTGTAAAAGTTCAATATGCATACAATTCTCCACCAAAGTTGATTATGCTGGATGAAGATGGAGGGCGCAAGGAAACCATTAGGTTAGCTACTTCCATTACTCTAGTTTTAGATCTAATTCATGTAAAACCGTTTTTGTACTAATAGCTCACCATTACTTGTCTACTTTTCCAACTTTACATTGCAGAATTGACAACTGGAAACGTGAACACATACTTCAGTTCCTAGCAGAAAAGGTTAAGCCATCCTCCGTATATACAGTATTTAGTACTAGGGATTAAATCATCTTATAACCAACCTTACCTCCATATATACAGTATTGAGTATTCTATATTATTAGTGCATCAGTTGGTACTCCATGCATGAGCAATATGCAGCTGGGGTCAACCATTCTGCATTTTTCAGCTTATGAAACCATTGCAGTATTCTATACACTTGGACAGCCATTGCAGTATTCTATACACTTGGGCAACCATTGCCGTATCCAGTTTGTGCATTTTTTTTCTTATTGCAGCATAACTAATCTGCTAATGTCCTTGCTTTAACCCCAAGTTTGGCAAGTAAGGATATCTTATTATGGAGTGAGAATTAAGATATATTTTAACCCCACATTACTTTGCTTCTTGTGCTGGAGTGATTCTATTTTTAATAGAAACAATAAAAATGGTCATACTTGTGTACAGAACCATTATTTATTCATACGTGGTATGATTTTGCCAAATAATCTAATACTCCGTACTAAAATAAAAACAGCAGTAAATGTAATTTTAGGTATTTAATACTGTTTTTATATTATATTACTAGTATAATACAGTAACAAAAAAATATTATTTCATTAATTTTATAATTAACTATTATAGTTCTTTGTTTGAGTATAACCAACAAAATTGAGATTGTTCTCGATAAATAATCGTCTCATATATATTATACTACGTAATAAATACACTACATTACTGGGGTAAAGCTAGTGAAAAAGTGATATAGAAACATTTTTTGAAGAAGTGATATTGAATCAAATTTGTATTTTGATTGTAACAACGTTGATCTTAAATCTTAATCACGCGCGTTATCAAGTCAATGCTTTAATTACTACTCCGTCTATACGGAGTATATAACAATTTAAACCGAATACACTACTTTGAGAGTTTGAGGCGGGGATTGTAGTTTTAATGGATATAAGCTCAAATACATTTCGAGTTGTCATACTTTTGGAGTTTTATATAGAGCCCGTTTGGTAGCACGAAAATCGGCTGTTTTGGCTGATTCTGCTGAAATTTATGAAATTCTGGCTGGAGTGGCTGTTTTGGCTGATTCTGCTGATTCAAGAAAAAAATATTTTAAAAATATATTTTATTATTAAATTATAGAAAAAATTACATGTAAAAATAGCTAAAATAGTCCTCTATAGTAACTTCAGCCAATACAGCCAGAAAAGTAACTCCAACCTTACTTTTTCTGCTTATTACACAATTCAGCACACAAAAGTAAAAGTTACGTGTTTGGTGAAAAAACTGGCTGATAAGCCTGATAAGCCGAAAAAAGAGGTCTCCAAACGGGCTCATAGTAAAACTCAGCTATTTTAAAAAAACTCAGATATTAAATGTTGATGTGTCATTCAATAATTGGTTAACAAATACTCCCTCCGTTCTCTAATAATTGGGAGTATAGGCTTTGGCACAAGATTTAAGATGAAATTAATAGGGGTAGTATAAAAGGTGTAGTGGGTTGTGTGTAAAGGAAAAAGTAGGAAAGAGAATGAAAAAGTAGGAAAGAGAATGAGGGTAAATGGGTATATTTATTGAAAAAACTTACCAAAAGTGGAAAGGGGGACAACTAATAGAGAACATCCCAAAATGGAAAGAAGGCCAACTATTAGAGAACGGAGGGAGTATAATATTTAACATTGCATATATATCATTAAATTTAAGGGAAAAGGTGCAAATAAACCCATGTACTAACAAAAAAAGGTCAAATAAGCCCTTATTTAGGAGGCTCTGTCGAGCCGTTGTCATTTGGGGTGGTTCCCGGTGGAATTTTTTGATGAAATTTTTTGAGCATCTTATTCATTAGTTCTAGTTTACTCATACCAAATTTCAGCAAAAACTTCAATCGGGAAGGCATTCAAATGAATTCTTGAAAATAACTGCGTAGTTAGAAGCGCAATTATCTTTAAGAATTCATATGAATGCCTTCCCGGTTGAAGTTTTAGCTGAAATTTGGTATGAGTAAACTAGACTTGATGAATAAGATGCTCAAAAAATTTCATCAACAAATTCCACCGGGAACCACCCCAAATGGCGACGGCCGGACAGAACCTCCTAAATAGGGGCTTATTTGACCTTTTTTGGTTAGTACATGGGCCTATTTGCACCTTTTCCCTAAATTTAATAATCCATTAGGAGAAAAATAGTACTACCTCCGTAACGCTAGAATCTTCCCAGTTTGACTCTTTTGGGTCAAACTTCATGAACTTTGACCATTAATTATTCAAAACTCACATTATGTTATGATTAAAAATTTATTTTATATAACTCATTGTAAAACGTATTATTTGAATGTTAATTTATTATGAATTTTATAAATATAGATATGTAGATATTTGCAGTCAAAGTTCAACTTAGAAGACCGTGAAAAGTCAAAATGGGAAGATCTTTATGTTACAGAGGGAGTAGAAGACTCCCAAAGTAGGTCTCCACCGCCACTGGGGAAAAACAGTAAAGTGAAACTTTGTTGAAGTGATGCGGAGTATTCTTCTAGAATCTAGAGACCTATTATAGGCTTATAGCCATGTATGTATTCATAAAATGGATACATAGTTCTGATTGTTTCTACATGTAAGTAATTCAACGTTTTTATTGAAGAATTTTTCTTAAATCCATATCAATGTGATGCTATCGGAGCATGCCCCGAGTGTTACACTAGTATATAATTAAATTAAAGATAATGGACACAAGTGTGATCTTTAATACTACTTCCGTTCTTAAATAAGTGCAACATGTGAAATTTTACACTATTCACATGTTCTACTTTGACTACATTTTATTTATTGATGTATTAATATATATTTTTGAAAAATATATTATTATATTTGTCTCATTGTAAATTTTCATAAACAGATTTTTTTAAATTTTTTACTAATAGAGAATTATATATATTAATGGTCAAAGTTGTGTCTCGACAAGTGTGAAATGTTGACTGTTGCACTTATTTAAGAACGGAAGAAGTACAGTGACTCTATTAATCCTTTCAAAAAAGTGACTCTATTAGTAATTTTAGTGACTATAATCATGTTTAACTTTATATTTTAGTGACTATGACGTTTTATTTATAGTAATTCTAGTCACATGCATTTTTATTCATAACTTTTATTTAATACTACTCTCACCCTATTTTATGTGTCTTCTTTTCGTTTGTATGAAATATTAATAACTGAAAAAGTAAAAATTACAGTTCAAATTTGAGTACTCCGTATAATAAGGTGATTTGTTGTGGACCACATTCTTATTTTCAAAAATATAAATATAATACTTAATACTTATTTTGGGACAACTCAAAAAAGAATTGCATAAATAATATTTTAAGAAAAATTCATTTAGTCGAGATTTATTTTTATTGGAGGCATATTATTTTCTATTGGAAGCATAGTACTATTAGAGTTCGTCCATCCTACAGCCGGCTGTACGGTGAGCACCGTACAGCCGGTGGCATTTTTGTAATATGATGTAAAAATCGTGGTTTCTGCTAACTGAGCATTAGTGTATTGTTAATGACCAATAGTTCAATTTTAATGAGTATTAAGAGTCTAATAATGAGCACTATGTTATTACGAGAAAGCTGATATCATAACTATAAAAAACGGTTGCATTTTCGTAATTTTAGTGAAAATCGCAGTTTTCGTTAGATGAGTATTAATACACTGTTAATGAGCATTAGACGTGTTTTACTGAGTATTAAGAGTCGAATAATGCGTATTGGGATATCAACTTCACATATTGTAATTAACTTTCTTTTTCTTATTTTATCTTTTTATAAAAACTCATTAAATTCTATCTATAATCCACTTCTATAAACTTCAACATGTGAATTTAATGTAATAGGATACTTTTGAAATGTGCGTTGATATGACAATTTTAAAACGAGCATAGTATCAATATCAAATGAGCATACACAACTTACAAAATGCTCATTGATATGTTCGTTTAGTGAGCAACAAATCTATTCTATTGAGCATTTAAGAATGTAATGATGAGTATCGTGATATCGACTTTACATCTTATAATTCACTTTATTTTTATTATTCCGTAATTTTTAAAATATCTACATTGAACGCATATGAATCGAACGTGTGAATTTAATGCAATATTATACTTTTCAGATATTGATAAATATGACATTTTAAAATGAGCATTAAATTAATACCAAATGAGCATAAATAAATTACGAAATAAGCATAAAAATTTCAAAAAAGCGCATTTAAAAACTCTACTATGCTCAAACTTTAATTTTTGTATCTCATTTGAAATATCTAAATGCTCAAATTTTCATTTGTGTACGCTCATTTAAATTTTCAAATATTCTTAAATATGCATTTATGTATGTTCATTTCTTTTATTCATTATGCACATTTATTATAAACACTATACTCATTTTCAAAGTGACAAAATTAATGTTGATAATTATGAAGTTGAAAATATCAAAACACAATATTAAAATTCAAAATTAAAATACAAGTTAGAAAATTGTGGTAGTGGGGTTTGAGAACTTAATATGTGCAGTTTCTTTCCTCTCCAAAGTACGGACGGAGTATTTATTTGGGCAAAGGCCACCCAGTGATTCTCTCTTCAATTGAGCGGCCTCCTCCGTCGTTTTCCAGGAACTCAACAAGCACCACCTTCATCGACTCCCAAACCACAATAAGCCGCGAGCAGCACCTTGATATCATCCTCATAAGACCTTTTCCATCGTTTCCACCGAATCGTCCTCAGACCCCTTCCAATTCAACGACTCAAGCCAACATGAAAGAAAGTAATAGCCTAATATTAAATTAGGAATCCTTTGTATCTTTGGAAACTTTTATTAGTATAAATATATCTGCTAGGTACCCTATTGGGTAACCTTTCCCATTATTTCACATGGTATCAAGAGCCTAATTTTTTTCCTCTCTCCTCTCTCTCCTAAAAACCCTTTACCCGCAGCATGTCTTCGGCCAACTCCACCGCCGCTGCTATGCATACCGAAGCCGCCGCCTCTTTCTCCTCCATGGCTGGCTCTACCGTTGCTTCTGCTTCCTCAACAACGGCGCCGGTCATCTCTGCCGTCACCGATGCAGCCGTTGTTATATCAAGTGCCGCCGAACTGTCTTCAGCGCCGCCGCTAGTTTCGAGTATTCCCCCGGGGCCGATTCTGCAACCTGCCTCTTCCCCCTTTGCTGCAAATTTTTCAGGACCTTATTCTTTGTTCCAGTCCCTTCCCCAGGTGTTCCCGTGGCAGACGCCACCCATAGCTGACGTACCCGGCCTATTTTCTTCTCCAGTCCCTACGGCCACACCTCAGCCCCATTCCGGTCCGGGCTATTTTGGTTCAACGCTTTCCGGTACTCCTGGGATATCTCGGCCGACTGACCCCTCCCTTTTTCAGTCCCCGATGGCAGCTATTTCTCAATCAATTTCACCGGCCAACAACGTTACTCAAATTGTTACTATAAAGCTTAAAGCCGTGGAAGAT